AGGGGCAGGCCGGGGCTGGGGGGCCCTGCCTTGGCTCCCAGCCAGCAGTTCTGCAGGAACCTAAGACAGGCTCCCTCCCTGCCTGTGTGCTGGGTGGGCTGCTCCATGTGGCTCTGCTCCAGCACTGGGAGGAAGGAAGTGGGGAGGGGGAGAGCGAGGAGGCTTCATTCACTGCCCCTGCCTTCAGCAAAATTTCTCAGCTCCTGTTGGCCTGAAACTGACCAATGGAGCTGAGGGATTTTGCTAGGGGGTGGGAACAACGTGTCAAGTTTCTCCTCCCTGCCCAGACTCCATAGCAATTAGCAGCCTGATGTTCAGAGCATCTGCTCCTGCTCTGTAATAAGCATGCTGGTGAGCTGGCTGCGGGCTGGATTTGGTGGCCATTTGCACTGTCTTTAAAGTTGGGCTGTCAACCACCACTTTCCAGCCACTTAGCTCTGATAAATGTTGACTTAAGGGATTTACATGTTTATATTTTGTTGCCTTAAAATACATATTCATGCTTCGTTATAACACTGTGAAACTTAAGATTTAAATATATGACATTCAAGATTTTAAAAATATCACCATTAGATTTATGAAAATAGACAATGAATTTGGTAAGATCTTAGTTAATTAGCTAAGACAGTCAGTGACTCAACCCCATGTTCTGAGTGTCCCTAACCCACCAACTTCCAAAACCTGGGACTGGGTAACAGGGGATGGATCACTTCCAATTGCCCTGTTCTGTTCATTCCCTCTGACTCTATACTTACATATCATTAATATAATTAATTACATATCATTAATATAATATAAAAAGAGGCTCATCCAAATGAAGCTTATGATGTAGTTCCTAATGAGGATATTCTTGACAGTTTGATTATGACGAGGGATGTAAGCAACTACTGGAGTAGTTGACTACCTGATAAATTTAGTCAATTACCCGCTTAACATCCTTAATTATGACTAGTTGCCTAATTTTACCATCAGAAACAGCCTTTGATAGTTTACTTCAGACATTAAAATTAAAGCAGGCCAAAAATGAATTTTTTTGACCCAAACTAGGACAAACATTGAAAATCTCAAAATTTATCATGCAACTGGGCATTTGTTTTATTTTGCTTTGGAAACACTGTAGCCAGACACGAACTCCATCTTGTTTCCCCCCCCTCCCCAGAGAGCAAGAGAAAGGCAGTCAGCCTTTGATGCCCTGGGAACACAGGTATGGTGCCTGTCCCTGACTCTACCATAAACAGAAACTAGACAGTAAATGGGCTAGCTGACAACTGGGAGGCCTCCCGTTGCCCTGATGGCTAGTATCAGTAATTGACACGCCTGCACTGTCTCAGGAGAGGAATCTTCGCCCATCACATACCAGAGGTGCCCACTGTCTGCATCTTCCCAGGTGTGAATTATGCTTTGCACCCTTCGTGGGAAACTTGGCGTTCAAAGCCATTTTTCCTAATTGGCCACTTGAGACCAGGAAGAAGCCCACGTGACCAAAGGGGTATAAAGAGGGGTTTAGTATCCCACTCCATTTGAGCTCCAGTCACCTACACCTGCTGGCAGGTATTGATTGTCTCCCGAGGTCCGTGGGATGCCCAACCTCGCCCTACTTCATCCCGAGGGATTGAGAGAAAGACGCTGGCCACGCCAAGTCTGGAACACAGGGGTGAGAATTGTACCTGCAATGTGTTTCCTTTATGTGTACACTTTAATTGTCACTCTGTTATAAGTTTAGTTACTTTATTATAGTTTAAGGCAAACTGCTTCATTTCTATTGTAAACTGCCTTTGGTAAGGTGATTTAGCTATAAACTTTGGGAATAAGTGGGGTGCCCTCATTCACTTATAAAATATATATATATACACACTGAACCAAGTTTCTTTATTTTATTTTCTCTTTCTCCTATAAATAAGCCAGTGAGTGTCAAGCTTCTGACTTGAACCCGTGCTGCTGTACCCGAACCGAACACAAAACAAAAGAACTTCAGCCGGTCAATAGGGATAGATATAGAGAGAGCTTGGGCATTTTGGATAGCGTCGCTTCCAGGGGACAGATCCGTTGGGGCACCTCTCAGCCTCTCCAGGCTGCCCGCTGCGAAGGGATTTCTGTATCCTAGCAGACAAAATCTGAGCTGTTATAAGCTCTCCCTGTAAACTTATTGGGGCGCCCGTCAACCTCCTCCAGGTTGCCCGCTGCAAGGGACCTTGGTCTCAGCAGTTGAAGTCTCAGGCGTATAGCGCGCACACACACCGGGGCATCTGAGAGCCTGTTGGCTGCCCTCTGTGACGGGACCCCGGTCCTAGCAGTAAAGTCACAGACGTTAAACTATTTTTCGGGGCGCCCTCCAGCCTCCTAGGCTGCCCACTGCAACGAGACTTTGCGTCTCAGCAGCTGAAGACTTGGGTATAACACACACGCACACACTGCCCTGACCATTTCAGCTGACAAACACTAACATGCTCATATTAGTGCATGTTAGGGGAATATTTTGGTGACATTCCCAAATGAAAAATGATCCTTTGGGTTTCTAGGCTTCCAAGGAGCTCTGGGACCACCCACTCTGAGGCAGGCTACCAAATGCCCTGATTCCTGGGCAGCCCAACAAATAGACCTTCCTACCCCAAGCAAAACTTCTAGACCACAGCTATGGGCAACCAAAATTAGTGAGTGGGCTGCATTAGTGGTCCTTCATCTCACTGGGCCGCATGATTGCCAGTGATGGGCAAGCTGTTCCACCTGCAGCCCACACACCGTGTCTGTCTCCCTCCCCCACGTCTCTCACGCACAGGAGCCTCACACTTCCGACTCCGCAAACAGCTAATTTGCAGCATTCAAGCTGTGGGAGGGAGGGGAAGGAACAGGGACAAGTGTGAATCAGTGGATTTATGGCATTCCAAAAATTACTGGGATGGCAAGGAGTAGGAGTAGCAAATAATGGAGCTCCAGTGTCCTCGTGCACGAGAGGTGTGAGGAGGAAGGGGGAAAATAGGGATTGCACAGGCTGCAGGTGGAATCCTAATGGGTGGCATGTAGCCCATGTGCTGCAGGTTGCAATGCCCACCACTGTTATAGACCACGTGTCTCAACCTTTCCAGAGTACTGTGTCCCTTGCAAAAATCTAATTTCTCTTGCGTACCCCCAAATTTCAACTCACTATAAAAATACTTTCTTACAAAATCAGACTTACAAGAAAGTGTCACAGCACACTATTACTGAAAAATTGCCTATTTTCTCATTTCTACCATACAATTATAAAATAAATCAATTGGAATATAAATATTGTACTTATATTTCAGTCTATGATATACAGAGCAATATAAACAAGTCAAACTAAAATTTCATATAGACAGACTATGCTAGTGCTTATTAAATACCCGGTTATAAAACTTGAAAATATCTGGAAGAGTTGATGCACACCCCCCCCTTGAATCCTCAAGTATCCTAGGGGCACACATCCTGGTTGAGAGCCACTATTATAGACTAATACAAGGGAGTACCTACAATACCATTCCTGGCCTTGCAGAAGGCATTACAGAGCAGTCAAATCTATGATGAAATACCTTTTAGTTTTGTCTTTAAATTACTTACTTATAATTACATTATAGTGATTTTAAAAGATGAATAATAAAAGAAAAATAAATTTGAGTCTAAAAGAGGAACTAGTTTCATCTAGCATTGTAAGAATATGCAAATTAAAATTTACACAGAAAGTTAAAAGTTGATCTCTATTTAAACCATCATCTTTAGACAAAAAGTAACTGAACTGCACACACATAAAGCCTTTGTTCTCCGAGGAACAAAAACTTTTCCAAATCCAGAGTCTTCCTTCAAACAAATGAATCAATTAACACTGTCCAATTATTATTCTCTGGCAAAATATATAAGATAAAAAACTAAAACACTGGTATATCATACCATGATAAAATGTTACCTACTGAATATACTAAGAAAACAAATTATTTCACTATAATTAATTTAAGCTAGCTTCACAAAATAAATAGAAGCATAAAATACTAGTCATACCTCTTGCAAGTTTTGGTCTTCTTGGGTCCAAGAATTTAAGATGTGAGCTCCAGAATCACTTACAATAAAATTCACCTAAAAGGTTACAACACATATTTTAAAGGTTACAGTAATGTATTCTTCTTATACCATAATTCCCACATATTCAGAAATGAAGCCTTGCACGGATACAAAGTTTGTATCTACATACAACATGCAAAAATGGGCCAAGGATACCTGTATGTGAGGTAATCTGTGGATTGGCAGGGCTCTAACAACAACTCCACAGGTCACCACGCACCAGTGGCACAGGGCTGTACCCCAACTGCCCTCCACTTTGCCCCCAAGACATCCTGCCCCACCATCCAGCTCTGCCCTCACTGCACCTCCTTCTCCCACTCCGGGCAGAGGGTCTACAATCCTGGCCTTTTGTGTGCAATGCCATCCTCTCAGTAGGGGGCTCTGACATCGCTATGCAGCCACAGGAGCTCTAAGACACGCAGACCTGGACAGGACAGTCAGAGGCAACAGCTAATTTCCTCACGGCCCCCACTGTTGCTGCACATTAGTTTAAAGTATAACACCTCTTTCAAAATAGCGCTTGACTCACTGCCCGGGAGACATAGCCATATTTCCTTCTGGGAGTTGTCGTTTACTTCCTCTGTCTAAGCAAGCTGGGCACTACAACCCCCAGAAACCTTAGCAGGCTTTTCCTACACATAGCTTTCTACATCAGTGGGCTGCAAAGAGCTAAGTGGGAATCTGAGGGCTGGGTAACAGTCACTTCATTTGGATGAGTGTGCGCTGCAGTCAGACCTCCAGTCCCACCTCCTCCACCCACCTACTGCCTAGCCCCTCACATCTTCTGCTACTGGGCCCAGAGCAATCCTGTCTATTGCAACGTTACCCTGATTTCTGTGGGACAGTCACTAGAGCCCTGTACAGATACAAAATCTGCATCCAAGCTGTGAGTTGCAAAAACAGATATAAAAAGGTATAAAACAGGTATATCTGCACATTTAAAACAGGTATACACAAATTTGCAGGGCTCTACCTATAAAAGGCTAGACTACCATAGTATTATTTTTATAGGTCACTCAAACCTTATTTCATTTTTACATACAACTAACTTTTGCGCTAAATCCAGACTTTAACATATCCTTTTTATTTTAAGCAGAGATCAAACATTTAGAAATGGTGTGAAGAGAAAGAAAAATGTTCATTTATAGATACATCTTTTTACAATTTCATTATTGACACGGTCTTCATATCTTACATGTTAGTAAGTAGAGTATAAACAAAGAGCTGATTTAGACTTAACACTGCAGTTACCACTGCAAGACGAACAGGAGAAAAAAAAACGAAGCAATCCCCTTAGTATTTCAGTTAGATTTTCATTAGCAATAGTTATCACTGAGCACAGATGTATGTTTTCCCTTATTTAATTAAACACAGCACATAATCAGCAAGTGGAATCTGCTAAGGAGGTCACTGAAGTAAATAATACCTAGTGAGATGAAGATAGATTAGATAACTTTAGGAGTATGAACATTTGCACTGAAGACTCATAAAACATTTAAGCAAGTACTTAAGTTCCATTGACTTCACTATAATTTCCATCATTGGCCTTACATACATGCCTAAATGCTTTGCTGAATTGGGACCTTGGAGAAATTACAATTTAATAGCAGAACTGTCACTTCATTTAACTGAGATTACAGAGAGCTATAAAAGAATTCAACACATTTAGGACAGAAAAGAGTATAGCCACCTTATTACAAAAACAGAACAGTGACATAGTCCGAATGACAAATCTGCCATTCTATAATTAATACTTCACAATTAAAGTAAGAGGCACAATGCTTACTCTACAAAAAATAAAAAACTGCAGTCTGGCAAATCTTTCCATTTTAATTGGCAAATCTTTCCATTTAAATTTATATGTTTATAACTTTAAACTTATTTTTCTTGCAAATACACACTGCTCAGGTTATGATAAAAAAATCATCTTTCTATTTATGTTTTCAAAGTATCCTTGATTTGCTATTCATAGTTCCTTTTCTCATTGGCACAGAAATGAAAATCACAGTGTTAAAGTGTGGGCAACTACAAAAAAAGTCTAACAATCGGTTAAATATACTACTAAGATAAGGCACAAAATTAGAGTCAAGCTGGACATAGTGAATTATGGCAGCTGAACATGATGCCAAGCATGCATCAGCAAGCACCCATAAGATTTAATTTCCAGCTTAAAGAAGAAAAGAAATCAGAAATCACAGAAGTAAATTGTTGTGTCTTAAAGGGGTAGAGAGGTCCCTAATGCCTGCCAAAAGAAAAACAGACTGAAGTGATGCACTACAAGCATCTTAGTTTTGTCCAAAAATGTAACAGTTTAACTCCAAAATCAAATACAGTAGACTTCCGATAATCCAGAACCTTTCGGACCTAGGTGGTGCCAGATTCTCGGCTATATACTGTACATAAAGTGTTTTAACCCTTTTTATTGTAGCACAAGCACTAACTGACCAGCGTCACACATTGCCACCGGCAGACTGACTTGGTCCCGTCCGGTTCCGCTCGGTTCAGCTGCTGCCGCTGCTGCTTTGTGACTCATTTTTTGACGAAGCTCACTCACTAGGCTCTTGACATTTTGATGCCGGATTATCGGGAGTGCCGTACAATTGGATGTCAAACTATTGGAGTTTTACTGTAAATGAATTTGTGAGAACAAAGAGGCCTGATCCAGTTCTGTGTTTTATGTTCTTTGTATTATTTGAAAAGACTCAATGAAAACTAAACACTTTATAGCAAGATAAATGGATCGTAACACATTATCAATCTTTCAGCAAGACTGCATTTTCCTCTCTACACAAAAGTGGAAAACAAGCATTATGGAATGCAGGGTTAAAGCCTCAAACCACTAATCCTTCATATAAACTATAGAACTAGAGGCAGAATATTTTACTGTAATTTCAGCAACAGAGTCAGATATGAGAATGAGGGTAATTATTCTATTACTCTTCCTTGCTTTTACCGTTACTCCACTGATTAAAACCCCATACTCAGGCACATTTGTGAATTATTATGTGCATGACTAAATAAAAGAGTCAAGTATGTTTCTTCTCTAAGGATAGGTCTACACAGCACCCTTACTTCCAAATAAGCTACTCAATTTACACTAAGCAAACAACATGGCTTATTTTGAGGTAATTTCAAAATAAAGCGCTATTCTGACAAGTCCCTTAACCCTTGTGAAATGAGGGTTTCAGAGATGCCAGAAAAGTGTACCCGTTATTTCGAAATAACGGGTGCATTTAAAGATGTGGAACTGCTATTTCGGGATACTCCCAGTATCCCAAAATAGCCCTGCTGTCTAGATGTAGCCTAAGGGAAAATGCTGCCTATAAATAAAAGTATTTTGTTTCTCTTATTTTTTCATCAAATTTTACAAGTTAAATCCAAGTCAAAATCTGAATTATATAAAATTACGGTTTTGTAAAACCTGAGATCAAAAGAAATGATTTCATTATGTTTACATTTATTTTAAATAATAATAAATATTATTTGTATTATACTTGATATATGTTTAAACACTTACCCACAGGGTTTGCAACCAAACCAATAAAATAAAGCAGATAACCAGGAAGTGAAAGTGCCCATAAACTAAAATGAAACTATTTTCATTGTTCCACTGAGTTAAAGGAGTAACAAAAGCTTAAATGATCATTTTTTTTATTTTTAAAAATTTCCAGTGTTTTTAATTTGAGTCACCTGCTTTTCAATCTGACAGCATCCAAAAATAATTTTAAAGAAGCACCCATTAAAATGAGACAATCTCCACAATAAGCAGTACTTTTACAAACACTTACCAATTTTTTGAAAGGAAATATATCATACATTATTCTACAGTATTCCATAGATGATTCCACTGAACAAGTCCACAGAGATTTTGAGATGGGTGCCAGAGGTATGATTCCTTGGGTCCGGTTCTTTACTAACATATCAAACTCAACATGTTGTCTACATGATTCTGCCATATAAGGACAGTGATCCACAACAAAAACAGTTTTATGGGACTCAGAGAAAATTTTCATTTTCTTCCTGAAATAAATAAATCCTGAAATTAGACAAAAACTTAAAACGCAGCAAGAGAAAACTATTATATGAACTTCAAACCTTTGAAGGTTTTTAGTGTTATTTTATTTAAATTTGTACTACAAAAATCGACTTTATTAGACAGCTACAATTGGTATGATTTTTATTACAGATGCACAAATACTACCACCATAAATACCTATTTGCACTGACAGTTCGCCTTACTTATTTGGTACTTAAAAAGAAAATCCTTTTGAACTAAAAAATAATACACAATCCATACCTAGGAAGAAACTATTTTCTCCAGAAAGGGAAGAAAACTGACATGAATGGGATAAAGAAAGCAAATAATAAATAAGTATTACTTTTTTGCAGTTCTTACTCACAGAAGAAAAATTAAATTAGTGAACAGCTTCTTTACTTGTATATTTAGAAATTTAACTTAAAATATTATTTCTGAAAATAACGAATTACAGAGCAGTCAGCAATTTTTAGCAGCCAACCCAGTTCTTTGCAATGACCTGAAGAGCTCTGTGTAATTTTGAAAGCACACGTAGCAAAGCAAATTCGGTCAACCAAATTTAGCTTGCTTAGTACACGATTTTCACACGAGAAGTTATGCTAAATTATGCTAGCTATATCAACTTTTGAACACATGCCCGCTTAACATGTTTTCGCAATAGCACGATTGTATTTTAGGGAACGTTTTTCAAATAATATGAACTTAAATTATTTTAAACTCATTATCTGAAATTAGAGATTACATTAACAGCAGCCTTTCAAAAATGTAAAGCATCAAAATATTGTTTCCTTGATCAACAGGAAGAATTAACCAGATTATAACCGAATTAAGACTACCAAGTGCTTATATATGCCCTTTGATAGATTTTTTCAGAATCTCCTATTATGAATCATTCCGAATGAACTAAAAGTTTTCTTGATTAATGCCAACAAGATAGGTGAAGAGGTCTTCGAATTCAGAGTTTTGTTTATTTTTAACTGTACAGGTTGGACCTCCCTGGTCCAGCACCCTTGGGATCTGAGCCGTTCCGGACAAAGGAGTTTGCTGGATCTGCAGAGGTCAATGCTCCTCTGCTCCTGGCTCCTCTCCCTATGGCTCCCGAGGCTGGGGCCCACCCTCCTGTTACCTTGTTAATACTGGCCCGGTCGAGGCTGCCAGCCCTGCTGCTGCCAGGGGCTCCCCAGCCAGGGCCGCCACCACCAGCCACATTGAGCCACTACTTGCCCCACTACCTCTGGGAGTTCCTCGGAATCCGCTAGCCCCCAGCCACCTGGCTGCCACCAGCCCCGCTGCGGGTTTCCAGGGGTTCCCTGGCCAGGGCCGTCAGTTTGTACAGAGCTGCTCCCTGGAGGATTATGCTACCAGTAGCAGTTTTGATTTGTACTAAATTATCTCTAAGTAGCACAGTCCTATAGCGAGCAGCTCTATACAAACCACTAGCTCCACTGCCACCTGGGTTTTCCCTGCTGGGGCCGGCACTCCCTGACTGCTGCCTGGCTCAGCTACCGGGGTTTCCTGTCTGGGACTTCAAGGCCATTGTGTGGCCACACTGCCACCAGCAGGGTTCCCCAACCAGGGCCACCTGGCCACCAACAGCCCCGCTGCCAGAGGCTCTCTGGCCACCTGACCCACTAACCCCAGGGGTTCCCTAGCTAGAGCAGAGGCTCGCTAATGCTGCCTGGCCCCCCAACACCGGGGTTCCCCTGCCTAGCCAATGCTGGCCCAGGTGGGGCTCTGCAGACCCTGCATTCTACCAAGGCTGTTTGGTCCACCAATGTCTGTGGCCTTGACGGACAAGGGATGTTGCGGGACCAGAGAGTCCCGGATTTGGGAGGTTCAACCCACACAACCGTCTGTAATTTTTACTACCGCTGTTGTTGCACGATTTGGATGTGATACAACCTTCTTCGTAAACAAAGATTTAAGGTAAAAATCAAGATGTTTGACTTTTAAGTGCCAGAAGAGAAGGCACTCAAGCTTATGTTCCATCAGCCATGCTTTTCATACTCTACAGCCACCCTATGATCTCTGTATTTTGGGAGTAAGTCATGCCAGTTAAGTAATGGACAGTTTTCACAGCCTCTCTGTATCCCCAGGCTACGTCTACATTGGCCCCTTTTCCGGAAGGGGCATGTTAATTTCACGAGTCGTAATAGGGAAATCCTTGGGGGATTTAAATATCCCCCGCGGCATTTAAATAAAAATGTCCACCACTTTTTTCCGGCTTTTAGAAAAGCCGGAAAAGAGCGTCTACACTGGCCCCGATCCTCCGGAAAAGAAGCCCTTTTCCAGAGGATCTTATTCCTACTTTGAAGTAGGAATAAGATCCTCTGGAAAAGGGCGCTTGCCTCCGGAAAAGGGCACTTTTCCGGAGGATCGGGGCCAGTCTAGACGCTCTTTTCCGGCTTTTTTAAAAGCCGGAAAAAAGCGGCGGACATTTTTATTTAAATGCCGCGGGGGATATTTAAATCCCCCGCGCATTTCCCTACGACGACTAGTGAAATTTACATGCCCCTTCCGGAAAAGGGGCCAGTGTAGACGTAGCCCCAGAGTTTAGGCAATATTAAAGACCTGGTGAAATGCCATGATGGGCCCAGTGTTGAAAATGGCATTTTTCAGAACCATCCACGTTGTCATGTTCTGTTTTTCTATTGGAAGAGAGAGAGTGTGTGCGCGCATGTGTGCGCACGCACGCAATAGCACATTTGATCTTGAAGATCTAGAAGAAACTCATTTTCTGCATTTTTACGAGAAGCACATATCTTTCTACTTACAATAAATTGTAAACATTGTTTTAACCACTATGTGTGTTTTCGTAACTTCAGTCCACTGAATCACTTATTTCTTACTATTTCCTTTGACTCTCAGTACACTGATTAAAAAAAATTAAAACCATAATGTTTGGTGGCAATTTAATAATCACTATTTGTTAGCCACAACACTAACCTCCAGCATTCACATGTACCACACTTATAATGAAAGTCAGGCAACCATGTAGTGAACTAAACACTTATGAATTAAAAACAGGAACTGTCCAAAGTTATATAGAACAGAATTATAAGATGTATTCCCCACTTTATAGAAGTTTTTGTATTTTAGCAAACCAAGCCCAGCAGTTTGCCAATCCACCATCCATTTTACAACAGTTAGTCCCACCCCATAAACATGTCACACTCCAATTATTCCCTCCAATCCTCTTCCCTTCTAATTTTTAGAGCTTTGCTGTAAAAGTTTTCATTCATAGATTAACAATAGAGTCTAGTTTCTAGTATTAAAGTCATTCATATGTTTGTGTAAAACTTTAGAATGGCAGGTGGCTGAACTAGTATCTTTTGTCAGCTCAGCTTCTGTTGACGAAAGTGACAAGCATTTGAGTTTACATAGCGCACCTCTTCGAGAACTGAAGTTTGAAGTTCGTCTTGCTCACCAACAGAAATAGGTCCCATTAAAGATACTAACTGAGCCACGTTGTCTCTAACAACCTGGGACCAACACAACTACACCCCTGCAAACACAACTAGAAGCAGGTTTTTCGGCCTAGTGCGTACAGGGTCCTAGAGCACCCTGCTCCACTTTCACGCGCGGATTACCTCTCTCAGCCGCCCATTCACACTAGCAAGCAGAGCAGCTGATCTCGGCGGCGACTAGCCTGGAGCTACCAGCCGTCTACAACCGCGCACAGACAGGCCTCGATCCAGGCCAGCCCCGTGCGACGGAGGCTTGGGCCCGGCATTAGCCGAGGGAGCCGCAAAAGCCAGTGGGATCGGTCCCCGGCGGGCCCGGCTGCAGCGACACACACCGGGAGGAGGCGTCTTCTTCCTTTCGCCGGATCCTCTGCCGGAAAAGCGCCGCCCGGGCTCAGCCTGGGAGCGCGCAGGCGCACTGGGCGTTACACCGGGAGGGGAGGGGAGCGCGACGGTTTGGTGCCCGTTATCTCCCTCCTGCTGCCCCACAGCCGGGCCCCGCTCGCCCCACAGGCTCGGACACTCCGAAGCCGTCGCGTAAGGCAGGAGCCCACAGACCGGCCGCTGCTATTGCTGCGGCCACCCCGGGTCTAATCCCACCGCGGGTCATTCACCCTCAGCGTCCCTGCCTCGCGACCCTAACCACCATGATATCGCGAGACTTTGGAAACCCACCGTCCATAAAGCCTCTTGCGGGACTTCCCAACGGTCAAGAGAAATTGACAGTCTCGCGGTATTTGGCAAGGGAGCTTCCTCGCAAGCCTCGGAGTCCAGCAAGTCTCGCGAGATCTGGGAAATAAACATGGAGAGGGTAGTCTCGCGATATCTAGTCTCTCCCACCTCTGTTTTCTTACCGGCGGGTAGTAGTGGAGGGGCTCACTCCCCTCCCATGGCGCCTCCCCCCGGCCTCGCGCTGCCCCCCGAATTCGCCCTTGTTTGAAGCGGCCTGGGGGCCCTTCGTCCCCTCCCGGCGCCGGGGCGCTGCGGGAGCCACCGGATATGAGTGAGTGGGGCACCGCGCTGGCGCCGGGGCGGGCTGCAGGCAGGGGGGCCGGGACAGCGGTTGGGGGTGCAGGGGAGGGGG